GAAAAATTGTTGAAGAAAAATTTGTTAATTGTCAAATATGTGCATTTAAATACATTAAAATGGATGGAAGGAAGAAGTTAAAAATGAAGAGATGAAATAAGATTTGAGGATAAGTTGAGGGTTTCGTGAGAGTGTTAAAATTGTCAAAGAATGGTGGTTTCACGAGTTCGAAAGATTAATGATGCAACAATATTTCAACACCAACACTACACAAACAGTTGTTGCTATCAATATTTCTTGCTAGAATTTAATCATTAATAATAATACTGATTATGATAATGATAATGATAATGATAATAATAATGATGACAATATGATACATATATATAAATGTTTATAGTTAAGTATTATTTCAAGAGATTAAAAAGTTTTCTTTTGTTTTTTTTTCATTTGAATATTTAATATTTCATAATTATTTACTATAAAGATATATGAGAAAAATACGAATGGATAATATGCTAATAAATATATGATATGATATCCTAATAATATCGTACATGAATTTATTATAACAATTATATTTATATATGTATAAATACTTATCAATGATATATCATCATTATCAGCAATATTTTTATGATATTTATTTATATATATAATAGATATCGATTAATAAAGCAAAAAATACAAAATTCGATAATAATTAATTTGTAATTATTTGCATGAATAAAATTATTTACTAAGTCAAAATGGAATTTTTTTTTTTAAAAATTTTTGACAAAGAAAGAAACAATAAATTTGTATGAGAATTATATATATACATATATATAGTATTTACAAATTCCATTTTTAATTAAGATATGATGAATAAATTGGTTAATTATTTTAATTATATTAGAAAAATATACACACATATATTAATATAACAATGATTCCGAGGCGAAATTTCAACCTTTTCACCGCAATTTATAATTTGAAAAGTTTTTTTTTTTAGCTAAATTTTTTAGTTCATAAATTTTTCACAATTTTTTCCTTTTTTTTTTTTGTTAATTTTTAAACTTTAACAAATACTTAATGATAGTATTTTAAAAAGTAATGCAATGAAGTTTAATAACAAATGTGCCAAAATGTGTTGTTATGTGAATTGCCACACAGATTTTTAGCAAGTTTTTTCAACATTTTACAAAAAAAAAAAAAAAAAAAAAA